ATCGCTATTATCTTCGAGGAACACCGTGCGTACCGTGCGAGGTATAGGAAGAGAAGAAATGTATTAGATTTTTTGAACTTTTGGGAGCTACAAAATCTTAAAATTATTTCCTCAAACGACCATAATAACACAATTATGTCCCATGGATATCCTTAGGACGTCCTGTCGGGACATTCACGACGTCCATAGGACGTTAGAACCTGGTACCGTAGACGTCCATTGGACGTCTGTGGGACGCACAAATGTCACACTTGAGGACCAACTAGGGACGTCCTTGAGGGATGTCCCTGGGACAACTCTCGACTACCTAAATCCTACAGTATTCTTCATCAAGCACTATGGAGGACATCTTTAGGACACCCGTAGGACAATCTTTCAGCAACGCTGAGGGATATCAATTGGATGTCCATAGGATGTCCCAGGGACGTTCGAATTATTCTTGAATTTGAATTTTTCTGGGTCCCTCCAGGACCAGATCTTGCATAACTGATGAGGACATCGAGTTGAGTTGATGTTCCGTAGAAGGTCCCCAATAGATCCTGAAAAAGTTTACCAAGGATGTCCAATGGACTTACGTGAAGGACATTGACGGAGAGTATTTATAGCCTATGAGGAATCATTCGTCGGCGAGGTGTAAGTTAACGTCCTCACAGGGACAACATATTGAAAGTACCGACTGGGACGTCCGTAGGACGTTATTTCTAGGACATCGGATGAGTACAGTTCATGTGTCAATTGGGACATCCAACGGATATTCCTAAGGAACATTCGAAGGATGTCCCTAGGGGACATTTCGATCGTTATACGATCCTGGAAATATTAAGGGCGTCTGTGCAGAGATATTTGAAGGAATGTACCATCAGGGCCATTTCATGGTTGTCTAGAAGGGACATTATATGATCTGATGTCATGCCAGAATATTTACTAGTCGGGACATCCGATAGATGTCCCAAAAGAAACGTTTGAAATCATATCCCATCAGAGACATGCCAAGAACGTCCTTGCATGGACATTCTACGTTATGTACCACGTGGGACGTCTAAGGGATGCACTTTCTAGGACATTTGAAATGATGTACCAGCTGGGACATTCTGTGGATGTCCTTGTTCGGACATTGCATGAGATGTACGGGATGGGACGTCCCAAGGACACTTATTTTTGGTCCGGGACATTCGGACTTGAAGTGTACCAAATAGGGGCGTTCCTAGGACGTTGTGTGCTATTAGGGGAATAATTCCGAAACTTTGCTGTTTTATAGACAAATGAGTTTTGATATTGAATTGTTCGATATATCTATAGAGATCAACAACAAAAGGATATACTGACTATGGGCTCGTCCAGTTGATAATATTGAAAAATTAGAGACATTCAAGAATAGTAATTGAATTATGAACTAGGATAACGGACCTATCTCATGCAGTCCTCTGTATTTATAGTTTAGCGATTCAAGCTATGGATTAACATGTCATTCTAAATGACAACCTAGTTAGGTTAGTTAGTAGGCGATTGCTATTGTACCTCCTCGCGTATATTAGGTCGCCTACTAATTTTCAATTTAAATCGACAATGACCCAACCATGCCATATTTTGACTGCGCGATTAGTGTCTTTCATGATTGGGTATGCTATTTTTAAGCAGAACAGAACAGTAGTAACTATCAAATCCTTGCACACTAAAATCAAAGATAAAGTGCCCTTGTTATTTAACACAAATGTAATTTATAGTATTCCTTGCCATGATTGTAATAACCAATATATAGGCCAAACATCGAGGTCACTATCCAACAGAATAATCTCACATAGAAGTGATTGCAGACTGCACCCAGAAAGATGTGCACTTGCAGAACATGTGAATAAATATGATCACCATATGAATTTAGATGCTGTGAAATCCTATCACGAGAAAAACATCTGATGAAAAGAACTTTCTTAGAGATGGCTTTTATATCACAATGCAGTAATTGCATAAATAAAAAAACAGATATTAATCATTTAAGTGAGATTTATTCCTTTTTACTGTCTTTAGATAACTCCTAATCATTTCAAATTTCAGTTTTCAACGTTGGTACGCATTGTCTGTTGGTACCACTGTTGTGCATTTTTGACATGACAATTGTCTTCACACACACTGTCATATGTCAGTCATATTCATTTTTCAAAAAAACTCATTTCCCGGCACCATTTGCAATAACCTTATCTGTCAACAATTCCAACCATGTGGTGGAAGATGTGACTTTTAACTTAGTTTTATAATGTTTTAACGTGTGTTATTCAATGTAATGTATTTTTATCGATGACTTTTGGGCTTATTCATGTTATGTTACCAAGACACATAAAGAAATTATACATGAACATCATGTCAGCCATCCTCAACAAAGTTGTAAGTACACAAAGATTTCATCACTTGAACTACATGATACTCATGAATAATCACTTTACAGACTCCCTGATGATGAAAATAAAGATTTTCGAAACCTTGGACCAACTTTAAAGAGTACTCTTTTGAATTTGCTGCAGTCCCCAATATTCCCTAGTTTATTTATATATATATATATAATATAATATACTCCCATATATTAACTCTCTTAGTAACAAATTCGAAAATATATTATCAAAAATTCCAAACCTTCAAATTGCCTTCAAAAATCAAATCACTCTTAATAACATATTTTCAAAATTAAAAGATAAAGATGAACTAATGGAACAGTCCAATGTAGTATATTGCATTCCATGTTCGCGATGTAACAAGAAATATATATAGGCCAAACAAAAAGAAAAATCAAACACCGCATCATATCCCACAAAAGTGACATTAGATTGTCCAAATTAACATCTTCCTTAGCACATCATGTGAATACCTATGATCACAGACCAGATTATGATAATGTGACAATATTAGAACATGAATCAAACTTGAAAAAAAGAACCTTTTTAGAAATGACACATATTTTCAAATCAACGAACACTATTAATACTAGAACTGACATAGACAATTTAAGCATAATTTACTCTCACCTTTTAAGTTTACCAGCTAATCGCAATAACATAACAATCATTGAAGAATTTTCAATTTCCCGGTAAAAACGAACAGTTGGCAATACCATCATTGGAATGTCCATCTCTTCTTCTATTTTTATTCACTTTAATTAATTACCGTTATTTTCGAACTTTGAATTTTGACAATTGACTCATGACAGATGAAATTTTGATCATTACATAATTCATTCAGACAGGTGTCCATGTTACTGTTCTGCTTCTGTTTGTTAGTGCCGCAGCAAAAATGCTTTGCAAGTTTTCTCGACTAAAATCAAATATAATGTAATAATTTTTATCTACTTTCAAAAATATTGATGTTTTCATGTTGTGAATGTTCTTTTACACATGTATTATTCCCCACTTAATGGAAGCCAGCTTCAACAAAACCTCATTTTCCGTAAGTGTTTTATAATCGATAACAAGGATTCAATTTCCATATCAATTTTAATTGTTTTATAGAGTTCCTGATGAAGAGCCAATAAAGACTCGAAAGCTTGAACAGAAACAAGAGTACACTTTGTTTTTCTCTTTGACTGCATACCCGAAGGAAATCAACAGTTTCATCCTTAACTTAGACAGTCGTCTAATCCTCTCCTCTGTATACAGTGTGTCCACCTTAAGGACTTACCACCCCTGTAAAATCGTTATTATCTGACCGATTTCAAAAAACATTTTTTTGTTGGATAGGTATTTGAAATGCCCTTCCAACGAGAGAGTGATCTAATTCTTAGACTGTAATCGTGGCCAACTGCGTCAAATTTCAATGACCCATATTCCAGAAAGTACTGTTAGGGATTTTTTTCCACGAAACTTGATGATGGATTCTGAATCAGTACCATTTGAAATATACCTGTACCGATTTTCATCATCATAAAACACAGGGTGTCCGAAAAAACGAATCATCATTTTCTTCAAATAGGTGATCAGCAAATGTAGTTCTGTGGTTTTTCTAGAAAGAAATAATCACAAATTATCATTGAGGATTATTTCAAATATACCTGTACCAATTTTCGTCTTTTGAATATACAATGTGTCTGAGAAAAAAATTAAAAAGGATAGGTAATCAATATTTTTCATCTTGATAATTCTTCACTCAAAATGAAAAGATGAATCAGGATCACTTGGAACATACCTGTACCGATTTTCATCACCGTTACACACAGGGTGTTCGAAAAATCAAATTAATATTTTTTTTCAGTTGATGAAAAAATATTGCCTACTTTTTCTTTTTAATTGTTTTCTCATGCACATCGTATTTTTGAATGATGAAAATCGGTACAGATATGTTCAAAGTGATCCTCAATAATGATGTGTGTCATCAATTCTTTTCAAAAATACCACAATACTACATTTTCTGATCACCTATTAAAAAAAAAAACATAATCCGTTTTTTTGGACACCCTGTATTTTATGATGATAAAAATCAGTAAAGGTGTTTTTCAAGTGATCGTGATTCAGAATCCATCATTGTTTTTTGTGAAAAAAAACCCTAATAGTACTGTCTTGTTGGATGGACATTTCAAATATCTATCCAACAAAAAAAAGTTTCTTGAAAACGGTCAGATAATAACAATTTTACAGGGGTGGTAAGTCCTTAAGGTGGACACACTGTATATATATATATATATATATATATATATATATATATATATATATATATATATAGAAACAGTATTGCTTCGGAAAGTAAACTGATTCATTCAAAAATTGCTAAAATACGATAGCCCTATTTATATCAGAGAACTTTCTCAATTGAATTCCTATGAACTATACTCCTCAAAGTTTATTCGGCATGAGTTAAATGAGTTTTTTTACTGTGCTATTATGCTTTCGTGAGAACTTCTCCGTAACAAGAAAGTGACATACTTAGGTACATCCCTGTTGAATGAGAGACATAAACAGAGGCGATTTTATGACTATAGGAAACCCATTAAACATAATTAATGGAATCAAACAAAGGTAATTTTGTTAGAATACTTAATATAATTTTTGATTTTAGATGAATGAGCGAAAACAATCAAGTGACTCTTGTTCTAATTTATGCACCATCATTCCATGAGTCACATCACATAAATCCAGAAGTATGGGGACTAATTCTGTAAATATCCCTCCACGTATTCATTCTCTCTAACTCTGGATTCTTATCACTGACAAGTCCATCATTTCCGATATTCAAGTAATGGAGGTGATCCTCTTCAATGGGTTTCCATTCGACATCCAAGTTGTTGTTTTTTGGTGTGGGATTTCCATATTTGGCAAAATTTGTCCATAACTCCACACACCGCCTTACTGCTCTACGTTCGACATCTCCAATTTCCATTCCAGGGATACAAGTTATATTGAAAATATAACCCAAATCATCAGCGTGGCACATACCTTGAAATAAAATGAAACATGTTCAAAGATTATGATAATTTCATCAAGTATATGAGATATACGCAGATGAAAAGTAGGTATGATAATTTGATTTCCAGAAAATCTGATGAACCTCTCTCAGTGCTGATGTGACCGTTCACAATGTTTTTTGCCATTAGTACCACTATTTTCAACAGCAAGATATGTAGGGGGTTATTCCTTGTGATATTTTCACAAATAAAGTTCAAATAAACATGTATCCTAACTTGCTCTGGTTTTGAGATAAAATATGTTGTAGTTGGAAGTATCGATTGTTTTTATTTATGAACACCCTGTATAAGCTTTCATGGTGTCAAAATTCAGTATAGTTGAAGACTGATGAAGCCCTATAATTTCAAAATGACTGTAATGGGGGTTATTGAGTAATCTCAATGGAAGTCTTTGAAACACCTACATTAGAATTTGGAGTCAAATCGGTTTTTTATTGTTTCCTCAAAAGCTAAGCTAGATACTAAAATCACACATAGGATGGAAAAGTTGTAATTACAATAGTTCAATCTGATAAAAATATAAAACTCAGAAAAACCGGTGGTGTACAATGACATTTACCATTGATATCGATAAATTTACCCACTGTGACGCCACTGGAAATATCATTTCGAAACTAATTCGCGAAAATCACGAAGTGTGCGGCCTCTGGTGGCTAACTTCACAAGTCTTGCGACTATGAACAACAAATATGGCGACCATTGTTTTGAGTTTCTGTGTTTTATTTGAAAATAATTTATTTGTTGAAGTGCATATTCCAGAACCTCATTTTTCCCTGATGAAAAAACTCGAATTATTTCATGAACTTTTATTGTTTACAATGAAGAAGCCAGTACCTACCTTATAATAATATAATATACATTTTCTGAAGCACAGTTAGAATCGTTGTATAAATGTTGGTTGCAATGATTCGATCTTGAGAATTCAATTGCTGGAGATCCTTGTTTATGTAAATCGATGATATTGTTCATTCTGAGCAGCCTCTCCGACCAAAAGCCAGTGATATTTCTTGATGAATTCAATTATTTCTTCATATCTCTACCATATTGTTGTAATAGCTGATTGCTTATATGGTTTCATTCCAGTCCATGCAAGTGTTGAGTGGACCATTCCGACCATTCCATATGTTTGAAAACTGTGGAATTGTAGTGTGATATCAATGATGAATACCACCATTGTCCACATCAAAATGGCAATTTCTCTGCACAAAAAGTAATTTTTTCCATACTGGAAACCTTGTACGTATTTCACGAAGTCAACTCATTATTCACTATTTTGCAAAGTGATTTCGAAATAACCAATTTGCAATGAGTGCATACGGCAATGTTTTTGTTGTTCATACTCAGTTTGAAATTTGACGTTGATTTGACGTTAAATGGAGACATGTATTGGTTCGTGATTTTCGCGAATTGCACCAGAAGAAGCTCCATATCACCATTAACAAAACCACAACGTATTATTGAAATTGAGAAAAAGGCAATCGAGTAATGAATAAATAAATAATTTTTCATGAAAATATTAATACCCTGTATCTCGAGAACTAAGCAAGTTAGGACACATGTTTATATGAACTTTATTTCCTGAAATATTACAAGGAATCGCCCCTTGAATTTTTTCGGTGTTATTCAGATACACTATACGCAAGTTCAATATTCCATATTTCTCTGGAGATTGCCATAAAGAATGAATGACAGAATAACAGGGACAATATTGGTATGAGAATATGTTTGGCGAAATAGAGACACATAGTTGAGAATTGAATATTAATATTCTTCTGGATCCTGAAATAAACAATGTCCTATAAGAGCAATGCAATTATCGAAAAATTACAGCGGTAATTGCACTGCAGGGCGGAGATTGCACTGCAGGGCGGAGATTGCACTGCGAAAGCATCAAGTCGTCATAACAACACTATGTCGCTAGATGCCAATGAACAACACAAAAAAATGTCAGATAGTTTTTATCTAATAACTCCTTAGCTAAAATTATATCTTCGGACTTGGAAATAGGTTTTGTACATCAAAGGAAATGAATTTTGTGATATCAGGTAGAGTAACATTTTGAATCTTCAGCAGGTAGATTGGTAGTAAGCTTTGCTTCCTGATGGCTCACTCGACAACGGAAGTGCTAATGCATGTGCTCAAAAATAGTGCTTGTGAAGTGTTATTCTCCGCTTATTCGCTCAACCCGTTTCTTCATTTCATCAGAGGAATTTGGAGTCTTCGAAAGAAGAAAGGAAGGGTCCTTCGTAAGACGAACACGGAAGACCGAACAAGGTAAGTCGTCCTGCCGCCTCACGGTTTTCTTATTGCGAAGTGCACTCATTCTGACTCTCAAGATCGAAATTCTCATTCTGCTTCGATCGTTTTCTCATAGACTTTTCTGAAATCAACGACAATGCGCCATTTTTTTCACCTGACGCGTCCGTCTTTTCAGGAACAATCCAAAATGGGCGAAGACCATGGTGAATCGCTAGGTTGAATAATTCCTTTTGGTCTAGCATTTCGTTAATTTGTTTTTCTTCTTCGGGTTTAAACAGGGTGAGTCATGAGGAGCTGCACATACTCCCACCACGAATAGTGGCCACTGAGGGGAATACCAAATGTCCATATATATAGAGTGAATTATGAGATTTGGCAGAAACATCTTTTGGTTATAACTTCCCAACAGCATCTTCAATTTGTCTGATTTTCTCATGGAATATTACGCTACTACTCTCTAATCGACTGACTCATTCAGCATCAAGAAAATCTCTTGACCGCTATCTGGGATAGCCCTGTACTGATGAGAGCCAACAGCTCGAAACCGGTCTGCAGGTAGTCAGCGTTCCTGAACCACTTAAGCGCAGCTCAGCGTTTAGGAAGGAAACACTTGCGATTTTATTCGTTTATACGAACTATCGCATAGATTTCGGGAGGATGTAATGCAATGTTCTGCGTGGCATATAGCCAGGAAAGTAGTTGTTTTTCTCTCGTTATCTACCATTATCGTTCATTTTATGAACTAGTATGTGGTTATGACTTTGAGTTTCTCTCTCTTGTGTTGTATTCAATAGTATGTTCCTTTCTCCACCGGAGTAAGTTTTTTCTCAAATTTCTTCCTTTTCGTTCAATAAACTAAGAATATTATCAGAATATTTGTTTGAACAGTCCATTCCAAATGTTCATAGAACGTCCCTAGAATATTTGTATCATATTATGAGAATATTCTGAGGTTATCCAAATATTTTCTAGGAATATCCAATGGACGTTTTATGGATGACATTGTACTATCTGGGTGTTGCTTTGGAAATGTTTGATATTGTAAGGAAGGTTTACTATTTTGTTGTCTCAACTGTTTTAAATTTTTGTCTCTCTGGTTTTTTTTTTTTTTTTTTTTTTTTTTATCGCTTGGAGCGCACGAAAGGGAATCCCTATAATGTTCAAAATGAGCAGCCAAAGCACTTTTAACGGATTGCCAATCTTTTCCAGCTCCACCTATCAGTTTGTAATACATTCCGTTGATAATAGTGGTATTTTCAATACAATTCATGTCAGCAGGATTTGAATCCTAATATGTATTCATAATCATCTAATTTGCTGTTCCTCGAAATGATGATCATTCTAGCAAATTTTTGATAATCTCGATTCAAAATCTGAAACTAATGCCACAATTGAATCGTTAGGTATTCAATTGGAAAATGAATTGGTTTGACTATTAGCATCTTCTACTAGTGATACAGTTTCAGGAATTGGGGCCATTTCACCATCTAAATTTGAACCTGAATCTAACTCGTTTGCTCTATTTCTTGCAATAGAATCAGGCAAGGACGTGAGAATGACATGGTGTTGATGGTCTTGATTTTCCACTGCAGAGGACCTCTGAATGAGCAGCTTGCAAACCGACGAGATTGTCATGATGAATGCCCGTTCAGTATCCTACCGACTGCGTCATTTTATGTTTTAGGTTATCACCAAAAGATTTTTAATAATAAAACTATTTACTGAACACAAAATATCAGAGTTTCATGAGAGTGAAAATTACAATACGTCTTTACTGTGAGGAGTTTATGTCAAATCTGATGAGAGCAAGTCGGTGAATGTCTCGTATCCTGGAAGGCGATGTAAACTCCTTCTGCTTTCGTCAGCGGTCTCAGCATATCACGTGAGAACGTCGTAGCTTATGATGTTTCTATACATAATTCACATATAGATACCTCACTCTTTAACTCATCTATTATGTATTCATTAATAATTTGAGATCATCAGAAATACTCTTTTTCAATAATCAAATCCTTGCATATTTCTCAACAATTAATAGGAACATAATCACAAAGCAATAAAATTAACATGCAACGTGAGTGTGTACTGATATACTAAGAGGCCCATCGAGAACGTTACACACAAATTTTATCCTTCATGAGTTTTGTGATGCAATTCATGAAAAACTGCTCAGACAGGTCGATTTCAATTCGGCGGGGACAGATTTTCCTCTAAAATTAATATATTACAAAGTTAAAAACTTGGAGCGGAACTGGCATATACTTTCGATTTTCGATAAGAACACCCTATATTTCATTCCATGATCAGTTAGTGATTATGATCCAACAATACCAAGTTTGAGGAGGTTATCTCAAACGACTACGGAGCTGCTGGCGGAGTTACCGGTTCAATCCGATCTCTGCATCTCACTAATGGAGCATTTTGAATAATCAATCAGTTATCACTTATTATAGTATTGTTGGATTCCTTATGAAATCATTACTAACTGATCATGAAATGAAATACAGGATGATTCATTCGATCCCGCGTTCCAATTTATGGTTCCAACTTAGAGATATGATAATCAGAGAAGAATGTGTCATCAAAATCGACCTGTGAGTGATAAACGGAGAGAACTTTGGTGCGAAGTTTTTGATGGGCCAACTGATATACACAAAACAAAAATCGTAACGCTGCATCTCGTCAATTTTGTGTTTTCTCGCTCTGTTTATGTTATAAAATAGCGTGGATTTCAATATTCATTCGAAAAATGTACGAAGCTCTGAAGAGAAAGTGAAGAAAGTGAACTAGTTCAGAAGGTGATGAGTAGGTACTTCAAAATTATGAAATTGATTTTTTTCACTAAAACAGGCCCATTTTCAGCCATAATAATGAGTTGAAACGTCTGCAGGTAATATGACATAATGTTCAATTTCACTCTACCTGGATGTTCTCTGATATTCGCCAAGATTTTCAAGAAATTGATATTTGTATCCAAGTCCATTCTGTATAAATAAACTGGACAAGTTGATGTTCTTGCATGTTGAATCGCACTCGCTATAATTCCAGAGATGAAATAGAAATCCGAGGTTAACTGAAAAAAAAACAAACAAATATTCAATGAATTTTGTCGAAAATGATATAATTATTGTATCATTGAGAATGTCGACTCAGAACATGAGCTCGAAGCAGAATATGAAATCGGTTTATCATATCGGATTGACTCTTCCTGTTCTGCAAATATAATAATATTCAGCTTCCGTAGGTACTGATGTCTTGGAGCAAACTAACTGATTTACCACGAACCCACGACCTATCACTCTCTAGAATACTCAAACGTTATAATGACTATATGCCCAAGTAGCACACATATGTTATAAATGGGTTGTACAGACATCTACAAGACCATGTTCAAAAGTCCGCGACTTACGTCTTGTACCATGCTCTAACGTCGGTATGTATGGCAATACGATGAAAAGGAGCACTTTCGCGAAGTCACATCGACGTCATTATGTTGTCGTAATGACTTATCGCTAATAAAAATTCACATAAGCAAGTCGCAGAAGAGTGGTATTGAAATATTATTAGTTTGTCGTTGTATAGTCATTTGTTGTCATTATATCATGTATTATAATACGTTCATCTCATCATTATGTTGTCGTAATGACTTATCGCTAATAAAAATTCACATAAGCAAGTCGCAGAAGAGTGGTATTGAAATATTATTAGTTTGTCGTTGTATAGTCATTTGTTGGCATTATATCATGTATTATAATACGTTCATCTCATCGAAATTTGTAAAATATTATTATCATGATATATAATTCAGTTTTCTGTCCATGACCTACATTCCACAAATGACTGCCATATTATGATAGTCACCTTATATATGGAGATAAAATTGAATATTATTTTTGACTAAAAATTGTAAACAACTAGAGGGACCATATAGAGTGACTGAAAAATCATATTTTGTAGAACAGAATTCGATTCTACTCACTTAAAAGTCATGGGCCTGTATTTTCAGCTGATAGATGTCTCAATTCTTCTGTCTGAAAGGTTCGGAATGAATTTATTGAGAGAGGTTACCATTCCAAGTGATCGTTGAAGTTCAGTTTTATTTTCTGGCCTCTTGAGACTCTGGATCACCTTCAGTTTGTCTGAATCTGGTTCCAATCCATTTCCGCTCAATATATGACCTAGGAACTTCATCCTTCGCACATTGAAGATGAATTTATCTGCGTTCAACTTTAGACGAGCTTTTCTCACGATATTAACCACTTCAGATGTTATTTTTTTTCGATTGTTGTGCACTCTCATGATGATGATTATCTCGTGAATAGAACACTCTGTATTCTCAACAATTTCTGATGATTCACTCATTGACTGCCGAAAACCTTCAGGAGGCGGAGCTAAACCAAACACTTGTCATTAGTGACTAATTCACTCGTCATTAGTGACTCATTCACTTGCTATAGCTATGATCAATCATCTAGAAATCACAATGGTACCCTCTTGTTTTCTTCAATGACGAAGATGAGAAAGTGGAATTGAAATTAACTTTCCCACTCATTGCACGTCACTTTCTCCCACTTTGAGTATCGTCGGAAGTGGAGAAGAATCCTGTATATGATTTCAAAAATTATGTTCTGTTCTGGTAGAGTTATGTATTTCATTATCTTCTTAGAAAGAATAACATATCATCAAGAACTCAACACCCCACGGCACACAAACTAAGAAGTTTCAGCGTGCATACATATATGATATAGCACTTGTTCAGAACTTTGTATGACTTGAAATTCGAATTGTATACTAGCAAGTACGCTTTTATACTTCACAAATGCTTTGATCATAATGGAGCCGTGGACTGTGAAAGTGGTCGCGTTGGGCACCCGAATAATATATCGGAGACGTCCGAAAGGAGAAGAGATGTATATCCACAGGTGAGCTGTCACTTGCACAAATCGACTTGATAGATTGTCTTTATCGATGAGTTCGCTAAGAGCTATTGATTTTGTCTCATAATAATAATTTGATAATGATGAGTATTCATTAACCTCGCACTAGTTTAGTGTTCACTTATAATGAACGACCTCGAAATACATATCGATTTGGTTAATACCAACAAGTGTCCTGATCACTTACAGCAGAAACATTGTTTTGCCTACTTCAAGTACCTTATTTTCCTACCGTTCGTGAAAATGTTCTTGTCACAATCGACTTTCTTTCAAGAAAACGACTTTCTTGACCGAGTTTTCTCAGTGTATACCATCCCCAAGGTGGTGAAAATGTGAGGTACTTTTTTGTTTTTTCATTGACTTTTATTCGCCAGAATTCTCTTTCACAGTGAACTAACAGCAGTTTTCGCCCTTGGCCACGATCTCCTCAATGGTTTTCAGTTGGTAGTGTCTTCTGATATTCTATTGACGTCAGTTGGATCAACGCATATTCTTATTCTTTTGTCCTTCTCCACGATTATATAGTTCTAATTAGTTCCATATATACCATTTTATCCAACTCCTGCTTTCCATCATGGCGAGTGCAATGTGTAATTTTTCTGGGTGGCTCCATGCCAAATTTTGGAGTTTTCATCAGATCTATGTCATATTCGAAAATCTTATTGCCACCAAGTACTTTACGAAAGCACTGTATGTCACCAGGACTGTCTGGCTACTGAGGAAACATATTCCAATAGTTACCCAAGCAACATGTATTAAATTCATATTTTATACTTCAACGAAAGTTAAGCAACGATTTTTCAGAGGTTTAAGGGTGTCAGGCAAGTGGTAACGTGTCTGGCAGTGGAAAACATGATTTCTAATATCATCCCGAATGAGATATAAGAAATTATCCATAGTATGATGAAAGTGAGTTTTTATTTTGAGCACCTTTGCTTCTTGTGATCTCATAGAGGCATCATGATCGTAACTTCATATTTGTCCATCTTTCTTACCTGTTCGGGGCATGCGCTGAGAAACTTTCAACTTTCATAAAATAACGGCGTTTATGGGATCTTGCTCTATTCATTCATAGGGAACGATTTCATTTTCAAACAACGCTTATAATAACAGTAGCGCTCAAAGTTTCAGCTTTCCGCTATAAAAGATAGCTTGGATATGATTCTACCTCGACTTTCATTTCACTGTTATTTTTACTCACCAGAAACTTATTACTAATATTTTCTTCTTTCAAATAAACATCAGCAATCCTTCTGCAAACCAGTTCACTTTCAGTACTTTCTTTCTGGATTTCCATAAACCAAGGAATAAATAAATCTAAATTGTGCTCTTCGCCTTTCGAATAAGGAACATGGAACATTTCATCACCAGTTGCTGCTAATAATCCCTCATTCGAACAGTACCCGATCATCATTGGCACCTGATTATAGTTTCCAGATTTGATATGATCTATGGGACGCTCTGATATCAATTCTGTGCCATTTGGTTTCTCTACAGTCGGGCCAATTATACTGATCTTCGTTTTATGTGACTGAAAGTTGTAATAAATATTAGTGAGAATATGAGTAAAACAGTAATTATACAGGGTGATTCCTGAGATGAATGACATAGCCAAATGATGAATAGTGAGAATGTGGACGAATTGATGTATATATATATATAAATATCCTACAACCCTAATCTAATATTTCCCTAATTATTCGATATACCTCAATATAATTTATGCACGACCGGGCGTAAAGTAGCACTTAACCCCCTGGTTTTGCAGGCGTGAAGTGGCACTTAACCGACCGCACAGCGTATGAATAACTTGAAATAGGCATTTCTGTATAATTCAGAACATTATGTTTCAGTTATAATGGTTATCCTTATCTAATATTTCAGTTACCATGGTAACGTCGATTCCATCGATGATATTCTTCACTGCAGCAAGAGGTATCCACATTGATAAATCAATTATACCGGTCGTGCATAAAATGTTTTATTCTTGGAAATATTAGTGGGATGCAGTCTGGACCAATGAATCAATTAAATTTCTTCGTTATTTGTCGTCGAGCTTTCGAAAATTTTTATTTTCTTTATCAAGACTAACTGAAAACATATCGAATGGAACAATAATATTAAAATATAAATGTACATCAATTGAAATTGGTATACTTACAAACATGAAATTCTATATAAAATTAGCACAAAAAGGAAACATAGGTGTATGAATATAATGAAATGATTTGACAAAAAAATGTCATAGATGATGGTTGACTAATTTGAAGATGTTGAATACAGAGTGAGATGAATACTGATATACATGAAAATACTGATATATAAAAAATGTTTGTAGATTATATATAAAACATGAATCATTCAAGGAGGACGAGTAGATTTTTTATCTTTTTGTTTCTTTAAAAGGAATGTATAAATGGTACTAAGATCGTTGATGTCTGTTCTTTTGTTCATCGTTTTATCATTTTCATTAATATGTACCATTTCAAGAAAGAGGCGTTTGTTGAGATGTTTTCCATAATACAGAATTTCGGCATTATCATAATTCATTATATGATCTTCATCTATAACATGTTCAGCAAGGCTACATGATTTTAAATTTCTTCTACAATCACTTTTATGTGAAGTGATTCTGTCTTTGAACATTCTACAAGTTTGACCAATATAAACTAGATTACAATCATTGCAGGGAATTTCATAAATAATATTCGATCTAGTTTTGACTGGTACAGGAGTTTTCAATTTGGTATGAAGATAAAATATTGTTTTCTAATTTTTTTTATCGAATTTAATATTTGTTTCATTTTTAAAGAGACTGATTAATTTGGGAGTTAGATCAAATATGTGTGGTAAAGATTTGAATATTGAAATTTG